TGTGACATGAATATCGGGAAATAAAGTATATGAATATTCAAGATGAAGTCAAGTTGAAAGAAATAGCTTGGATTTCAATGATTTCAATGAATTAGTAAGAAAAAAATTCCCAGACTGTTATTTGAAGGTAACAATAAAATTAAAGCCAACACGTGTAATATAAAATTCAGAAGGCAAGTTGTTAATAAATATACAAAAAGTAGGGAGAATTTCTGACTCCTAATATTTTGAGTTTAGATTTCAAATAATCTTAATACTTGGCACTTTGGGAAAGGATGTGTCTATTTCTTTTCTATCTTATACTTACTCCATAACTTTTTAATTCTTTTTGTCTGGTGCCTATGGAGGTAACTAATGCTATTAGACCAAGTATAACCACAGGCATAACAGATTACTGATGTCATAATTATGTGTAGTTACTATAAGTATTAGTATTGACCTCTTTGGCTAAAACGATTTTTACAAAACCTCTTGTGCTTCAAGTTTAGGAATATAATTTTTCTGAAATCAACTTTTAAAGACTCTTAGGATTCTAAAATTACATTTCTCTGGGCACTGAGGTTTGGTACTTTGGGAAAGTGCAAATTGTAAGTCAACATAATCAATCACAGAAAATAAGAATATGCCAGATAAGATATGCCACATTGGCATAAGGACTATTTCGAGCTAAAGAAAAGTAAGTACCAATGATACCAAGTTAAATCATATGCCCCTTAAATCAAACAAATATTTAGAGACTCCTTAGAAGCACAGAGGACCCTACTCAGGAAAGCTCACAGAAACAAAACTTCTCTTTCATTAATTTCTTTCCATATTTATCTTATCACAGCTTGCTGCCTCTAATCCCCGTCATTTTTCTCACCAATTTGTTGGAAATTTATTGCTCTTTACTCAGGTCTTACATAAGACCAATAAGACGTAAATTCTTTCTAGAAAATTTTATTGAGCTTTTTAAATGTCTTATCCAATCAAATGGATATGACATTTTCCAATCAAATCCAGACCCCCTCCGCCATCCCCCCACTGAACCCCATGCAAGCGGAACCTGTACACAGTATCACATCGTGCACATATCCCTTTTCATGTCTTTGTAGTTCCAAAATTTCGTATCATGAGGAAAGTGGGACTAGGAACCAACTAAGACTGGTGTGGTGAGACTGAGTCAGGACGTAAAATGATGATTTTTGCACTTATCTTGTGCGTAGTGGGGAGGAGAGGCACACGCCATGGCACATGTGAAGTCAGCCCTGTCCTTCCACGATGTGGTCAGAGAGGCACATTTGGTGTAAGCACCTTCTTTACTTGTTGAGGCACTTCACAGGCCCTGACACAGAACTCTTTGAGGTGATGGAAGTGTTTAGCTAAATGAATAGAGGATTACTTGAACGTCTATTTTGTCATTTCAATTTAATCAAAATTTCTGGAAAACAGTGACTTGTACTGTAAGGATTGAGGGGCTATTCAGACAAAACACAAACAGTAGGACATAAAAGACTGAGAGAACTGAATTGGTCACACAGCTTAGTCTTTGGACTATTCCTTTTACTTTGTATATTTTTAAATATTTTATTTATTATTTTTATTTTATGTGTATGAGTGTTTTGTCTGCATGTAGGTAAGTGCACCTGTTTTGTGCAATGCCTGTGGAAGACAGAAGAAGCCATTGGATACCCTGGAACTTGAGTTAGGGACAGTTGTTAGCTGCCATGTGGGTTCTGGGATTCGAACCTGGGTCTTCTGCAAAAACAACCAGTGTTCTTAATCGCTGAGCCATCTCTCCAGCCCCTACTTTGTATATTTTAAAAAAATAAACAAGATGAAAAATACATCCAGGAATTCTGTTTATTCTCTGCTACTTTTTAAGAGCCCAATCAACCTTAAATTAGCAAATAAACAAGATTTCATAATAGCTGAAAAAGTTTAAATTAGTTTCTTTATTAACCATTTAACTTGACAGTGTTGAGTATCAAGTCAGGTCTTTGGTTTGGCTGGACAAGCTGTTATTTGTACATTTCTTAAAAACCTACCACCTGCATTATATGGACCTACATCCCAGTCTTCATTCCACCTACCCTGCAGGATTATACTGTGCTTTCTAAATGAATGAAGCCATAAGACAGAGATACTGAGAAAAAATTAGGTGAAAAGGAATACATCTATCAAGAATCACAGTTATGAATCACTGAAGCTCATCAGAGATGCTAAATAACCCTTAGCGTTAGAGAGAAATCCAACACATTCTAATTCTATTTTTTTCTGTGTCTGTATATTACTTAGAGGCTCATATGGAAAAGAAGGGACAGGAATTATCTCTGTAAATAAAATCTTCATGTAGGATCCGGTTAAGTCTCATTGAGTCGTAGATAATGCCATTTATTATTCATTATTGAAACTAAAAGATCCAACTTAAAATTTACCCTAAGTAGTTATATAGTCATTTGCACTCCTGTGAGAACACAGGTAGTAGGTATGACTATTCATTCTGTAAAAATATTTCTTTAAAAATGTATTTTAACCTGGATGGTGGTTCACACCTGTAATTCCAGGATTTAGGAGATAAAAATGGGTGATCACCAGGAGTTTGAGGCTGGCCTAGGCTACATAGTAAGTTCTAGGAGACCCTGGTATCAGAAAAAGAATTTGTCCTAAAAGAGTGATGGAACTTGCAAATGATTATTTAGCAAACAGAACAGTAATAATCATACCAGTGGCAATCGCTGAGGATTTCTCAAATCTGGGGGGAGGATGAAAGGAAAGAGGGAGCCGAGAGCCTGGCCCTGAAAGCACCATATCTAGGATTCTCACTAATCACAAAAGGGAACTGTAACAACAGATCAAAGAGACGAACGCCTGAAAGGCGCAATCAAGGTAACGTCACGGGACAAGACGCCCACACCACGGACACCTTTTGACTCCTGCAGAAGGATCTCTTTGGAAGTATTTCTACAAAGGGCATCAGCACAGTCTAGAATGTGCTGGACCAGTTCAACTGTGGGCACGCTGTAACACAAAAACGCCAGTGCTCAAGCACCAAGGTAATAAAAGACAGACTCGGAACATGTTCCAGACCGGAGAGGATTAAGGAGGAAAGGCAGCTAAACATAGGATAGGATTTGAGATTGAAGGCTGAACCACAGAAAAGTAACAACAAAATTACTAAAAGAATTGTGGTGGCACACATCTGTAGTCCTGGATCTGTGAGTTCGAAGTCAGCCTGGCCTACATCTGGGGCTACAGGGAGACCCCGTCTCAAAAATACCAAAAAATAAAAATGAGACAATAAAAGAATTGTAGACATTTTTATGATGTCTGTAATTGGTGAGTGATATTGTACCAATGTTAATTCCATGGATTTGATAATTGAAATCTGGCCACATAGAAATAATATTAGATAATGCCAGGTGAAAAGCAGATGTTGTACAAACAATCTACAACTTTTTTAGCTTAAATTATTTTATAATTTATGCCAGGAGTGGTGGCACATGCCTTTAGTCATAGCACTTGGAAGGCAGAGGCAGGATCTCTGTGAGATTGAGGTCAGCCTGGTCCCCATAGAGAGTGTCAGCCCAGCTGTGGCTACGAGGAGAACCTGTCTCAAAAAGACCATAAAAATGTTTCATAATTAAATACAGAAACAGAAAAGGCATTCTGAATGGACTTAATTCATTGTCCAACATTTTGCTAGGTACAACTGAATTCTGCATTTACAAATAAACCCAGGCCAAGAAACTATTAAAGATAAATGTTGTCGAGCACACAACTCCTAAAATAAGCAGAGAACTCATGAATGATCTACTTTTGCTAAATTGCAGTCCACTGATTGTCTACAGAGAGCTGCCCAGTACAGTTTCCTGAAGAATCATAATGCAGATCAGCTAGAACATTTACAGATGCAGGAACTGAACTAATGCTCATTGTGAGTCCCATGTTATAGATGGACAGATGCTAATTCAGTTTAAAATGTGGATATCAGGACAAGAGTTTGGATAAACTACAGATCAGTAGTTTCACAGAAAAATTCTTAGATAGAATAAATTATGAAATTATAATTCTTCTTTGACTCAATCTATTTCCTTCCTGGAGAAAGTTACTAGTGATTAGTAATATTAACACATATAGAGGAAAAAAACTGAATTTGAGTAAGATTACTGTTAATTTTTTAGTATTTTGAGTAAACAAAAATAATAGTACAGTATATTTATAATTATGTACTTCAGTTGTTTAATTATTGATTGAATTGTTAATTGTTTGTAATAATTGTATTGAATTGTTGTAATAATTATTGTTTAATTATTGTGGTCACTAGATCAGCATTGCCCAGGGAAAGAGTTCAAAGAGCTGGCTCACCAGCCTCGTTGAATGAACAGAATATTTGTCAATGACACTTTGGGCAGAAGTTCAGGATATAGTGGGCATGTGCCTGGATCACAATTGGCTTGTCCCTGTCACATGATCCCCACTGTGATGAGCCCAGAGTTCCAGGTTAAAGAAGGAGCTTTCAACAAAGATGGCATCTGTAAGCTTACAGTGAGGGGCCACCCCTCAGGGGTTCTCTCTCTTCAGGAGCCAGAAAACTTTATTACTTTATTCTTTCCACGTCTTCCTGTGGTCCTCTTCACCATGGCTGCACATCCCTTACTTCCAGGCTCACAATTATCACAACAGACCCAGAGCAGCAATGGCATCTCATAGTCCTGGGTGTTTATATATGGTCCCGCCTACACGGACTTCCCTCCCCACCCCCAAGAGTAAATTTATCATTAGTCAATAACATATGCTTACTGCCCATCCAGGGTAGCATACTTTACTGAAATGAAAACCCATTACAGATTTTTGAAAAGCTTTAATCCAACAGGTTGGTAATGCATATTTTGAAAAGATGAAGTCTCACTTTTAAAAGTATGGTGTGTTAAGAATTATTGCATGTACTACCTATTGACTACTTTATATAGCATGCATTTATAAATCACATATTTATAAACTTACAACAACAAGCTTACCAAGACTTGGGTACCCAGGTGTAGAGGGGTCTCCTCCCGGATTCAGTGTCACCATGAAGGTCTCAGAGCTGACATCTGCAGTCTTTGGTGAGTCACAAGGGTCCACGTACAGAAGGACACCTCCAAACCCAGCCTTTTCCAATAAGGAAATCTAAAAGAAGGAATAATGTTAAAAACATAAGAATATTAGAAGTTCATAAAGTAGTACTTCTCAGGTATGGGCAAGAAAAGGCTGGTCTTGAACTCACAGAACTCAGCCTGCCTCTGCCTCCTGAGTGCTGGGATTAAAGGCGTGAGCCACAATGTCCAGCCTATATTCTTTTCTTTTATTTTCTTTCCTTTTTTTGTTGGTTAAATTTTATTTTTATTTTATATGTGCGAATGTATTGCCTGCATGTGTATAAGTGCACCCATATTGTGCAATGCCCACAGAGGTCAGAAGAGAACACTCAATCCCCTGGAACTGGAGTTATGGACGGTTGTTAGCCACCAGGTGGGTGCCAGGAATAGAACCTGCAAGAGTAGCCAGTGCTCTTAACTGCTGAAACATCTCTCTAGTCCTACCTTCAATATTTTTTGTTACTTTATTTTTCTGTTTTCCAAAGTTGAAGAAGTATACTCCCATGGGTACATAACTAATTTGGGTGGTAGGTACATGGGTAAATTATTTTGTTTTATTTTAATATAATGTTTTCCTTATTATCTGAGAATTTCAGACATGCATATATTTCAGTCATGTCTGACACATCCCCTCCAGCTTCATGTCCTCATTTAAAACAATCATCCCGAGTCCAACTACTGCTGCCATATACACGTGAATGTGAGCCGTCCACTGGAGCTTAGTCAACTTTCCAAGGACCACATCTCTAAAGAAAACTGAACCTGATGCCAGCAGCCATCAACTCTTAATAACTCAGCTAGGGTTGGGGGCTCATTAGCCCCTTCCCGTACTGGAGTACTCACTGACTTGATCTTGATCTTGGGCAGGTCATATGCAGGCAGTGACAGCTGCCATGAGTCCTAGTTACGTCCAGAAGACACTGTTTCACCCCAGTCTTCCAAGTCTCTGACTTACAATCTTTCAACTGAGTTCTCTCCCAACATGTTTTCTGAGCCTTGGGGGAAGAGAGTTTGCTGTGGACTCCCCTGGCTTAATTACCAAGGCCCGTTAGAGGGTTTACTTACTTTCTACATCCTAAGCAACACTCCTGTGTTTGTATTTGATTTCATCATTCAGCTAGTCTTCTTTACTCTATTTAAAAAAATTGTCCAGTATAGTTGGAATTTTTTTCCTTTTGTGAGACAACATATGCTCTAGCAAACACAAGGTTCTACATTTAGAAAAAGAGTTACATTGGCCACTCTTAAGTTCCTTCTCAAAGCAAAAATAGCCACATTGTGGGGCTGGAGCGATGGCTCAGCAGTTAATGAGCGCTGACTGCTCTTGCAGAGGACCTGGGTTCAGTTCCCAGCACCCACATAGTGGCTAACAACCAACAAAACTCCAGTTCCGGGGGATCTGATGCCCTCTTCTGATATCCATGAGCACTGCAGGCACATAGCACACATAATTCAGGCAGAACACTCTTCCACATAAAATAAAAATAAGTGAAATAAAATTACCCCCCCAACCAAATTAAAATAACAACAACAAAAAAGAAACCATCACACTGGTGATGCATTAATTCAGGGCTAAGCCTGTCATGAGGCAGTTAAGGGGTTTCCACATTTCCTCCTGGTTGGCCTGCTCTTGAACAATCTGTTCCTGCTTGACCCTGCTGGGGAAATATTTTGAAAACAGCCCCTGGTTAGGTCCTTCAAGACATATTTGATATAAAGAGTTCCCTCTGTTCTTTAATAAGTGCACAATATATAATAACAATGGGACAGAAGAACTTGACACCTTCCTATGTTTTATTTTTTTACTTTGCTTAACTGAATTTTTTTCATTATGCGTCTTAGTGTGATGTAATCTGATATGAACAACAATAATGATTTGCTGATTCTATTTGTTTCCCATCAGAGAGTAAAAGTAATTAGAGAGTATTAAAGCAATAAAAGAGAATAAATAGAGTAAGATTAAAGATCGTACTGAATGCAGATCATTACTGCTGACCCCGGGACTTGACTTAACACCTATTCTTCACATTCCAATTACTGGTCATGTTGTTTACTGAGCTGCTCAGTAGACCAAGGACTGGCACTGTGACCCTCACTGGTCCCTCTGGGAGGGCAAGGATTAAACTTATCCTCTCCATCACAGTTCATGCTGCATTTCTTGGGCTCCTGGTAGGTAATCAAGAGTATTGGTACATAAGAGAATGCTTGGGAAAAGCAGGCTAGGCACAGCAGGCATTCCTAAAGAGGAGGGAGCCAGGAGAAAACACCCAGGCTTGATCTCCTAGTGCTATCTTCTATGGGACAGAACAAAACATAATTGTATACATAACATGATTTCAATCATATAAAGGCACAGTTTGCAAAAGTAAAATAAAAAATACAGGCCGGGTGTGGTGGCGCACTACTTTAATCCCAGCACTCGGGAGGCACAGGCAGGAGGATCTCTGTGAGTTCAAAGCAAGCCTGGTCTACATAGTGAGTTCCAGGACAGCTGGGGCTACAGGGAGGCCATGTCTCAAAAAGACCAAAAAAGGAAAAAACAACAACAACAACAACATCAACAACAACAACAATAAAACACTGATACAGAGCTACGTGTGCCATGTCGATGCCATTTTTGTGTCTTGTAGAAATGCTTTGTTCTTTACAATTTGGGGCATGTTGGACAAGAGTGTGTACTTTTTATAAGGGAACAGCTGACATAGAAAGTCTGAGTAAGGGACTGACTCACATCTGCCTTCCACAATAAAGCACTCAGACCAGACTGATACCCACCTCTCTTCGGTGCTTTAGTGGAGAGAAGGGAGGCATGCCTAACAGGAAAAACGACACAGAACTTAAGAATGAGCAGAACAGATTTAAGGCTGGATCTTCAAATCCTCAGGCCTTAACTCCTTAGGGTGGGTTCCAACGTCTACTTGATAGGAATGCTATCCTTCAAGAGACCAATGGATGGCATGATCTTGAGGGGTCTGTGTACTGTAGGTGAATATATTGGGAAAATATGAACTTCTCTGAGAATAGCTATTCATATATTAAGGTCCTTTTTTAAATTAATAAAGCAATTCCACAGTTATTCAAAATTAACATGTTAGATTAGAGGCGTGTCTAGCCTTTTGTATTTATAAAGTTCATAAGAACTGCACAGCCTAGAGATGAAAAAAAATCACAGCAAAATCTCATAATATAAGTAAATTTGTGTTGGGTTGCATTCGTAGTTACCCTGGGGCATATGCTCACAATATATTAAAATTATTATATAATTTCTTTCATTCTCCTAATAAACATTTTTCTATATTGATAATTAATTTCCATACCCATTGTATAGATTATGTATAATAATACTACCTCCAGAAGGTACCAGATATTATTTAACCAATTTCTGTCCTATGAGACATGTTACCTTTTTAATTCTGTACTGAAACAAATAACATTTTAGTTTAAATTCTGTTCAAATAGCTATATTCATAGCATGTATTCTCATAGGTGTACATCAAAGAATTATGTTTTAAGATTTCTAATAAACTGTGCTCCCTACACAGAAAAGCTCTAGTATCACAAGCTATTAATATAGATCCTAATACAGTTGTCCTGCTTATTTTGCTTTTGGTACTTCTCTCTCTCTCTCTCTCTCTCTCTCTCTCTCTCCTCCCTTTCCCCCTTCATTCATTCTTTCCTCTTTCCTCCCTTTCTTTTTCCCTTTCTTCCTTAGTGATACATATATGTATATATACATGCACATATTACATATAATGTATAGAGATGTATTACTATATATCAAATGCATATTTGATAACATTTGAGATTATTCTAAAACTGCTGCAAATTATCCAGGGATGCATCTCAGAGATACAGCGTAGCATGCACAAGACTCTGGGTTCTATCCCTTGTAGTTAGAAGAAAATGTGCTTGGTGTAATACCTTTTTGAGTATTTAATGATTATGAAACCTACTGTTTGAAACTAGCCTTAGTAATTTGCCACTTTGGGCTCTTGTGTGTATTTGGTAATGTCTTGTGACCTGTATTCTAACACCTGGAAAACATGGTGTTTCACTGCAGCTGATTCTCTGTAATGGAGCAGTGAGAGTAGCGAAATACTGTGTTTCCAGGGTTGGACGCCCCCCACCGTCCTGAAGGGATGCCCCCATTTCTCATTCGGCTTCCTGTGCTTTTTCGAAAATGTGATCCTTGTGGTGGACACTTTGTTAAATCTGGGTTCTAGTGTCTTTCAGGAGCTTAATTCAGTAGCTCTTAATTTCAAAAATTATTGCTTGATGGTTTCCCAATGTAGGGGGCAATAGAAATGGTAGTTCCAAAAGTCAAGCTATGCATTAATACAAGACTGAGTGTATTAAATCATACTACTGATGTTCCTTTGAGCACCTGACATGATATACGAACATGTTAAGGTTTAGTTTGGCTAAGAAATCTACTACTTTAATGGCATTGCATACATGTACATATATATCCATATATATATACACGCACATGTTATATATAATGTATATATCATTATATATGTATTATTATATCTCAAATGCATTAAGAGCCAATGCAAAAACGAAGACGGCAGATGTCCTTAATCTGTCTCTTTTAGTTGGAGAAAAGATTTAAAAATATTAAAAATATTTTAAATTGTTAAAAATATTTAACACTGTCCAGCACGCAGATGGGTTCTGACTGTGCTGGGTGTGATTCCTGGAACTTGGAGGCAGATATTAGGCTAAGACTTGTTGACATTCCTTACTAATGAGATGAATTTGGGTTTCTTCATCCCACGAGCCATCCCAGAAGCCCTTCTGTCAGGATGTAGAAACATTAAGCCTTGTGCGGACAACTGGGAGCATAAAGAATGATTAAGGAGGACACTGAGTACCGTGCAGCCTCCGGTAGGCCTCCTCCCTTCCCCGCCTCGGTGCAACCTCACCCTCTTCTTCTGAAAGGCTGTCCATTACTTGAAGATAATCAAGTTGATCACAAGAAATGAAAAAGTAATATTACAGAAGATAGTTCTGGATTTTGGTGCCCAT